TGCGAAGGGACTGGTTTCAAGAATGGCCTGTACACTGCTAACCTGTGTAAATGCTACTAATGGTCCATGCTGAGTGGGTCCAGTGAGTGCTTAGTGCCTAAACAATCTCATGTTGTCCAGGAAAGTCATTGATTTGTTAGGAAATCATTTGCTACCAGCCAGTACTGCTGGAGCTCGTATTTTTTTTGCGCCTATTTCCCATATGACTGAGTGTTTTATATTGGAAAAGATACATGGCCACGAGGGCCGACCGCAGCCTGTCTTCAGGCAGTACAGAAGTACGTCTGGGTGTTTCTCTCGCTCTACTAGCAATTTTAGGTCGTGATTTTCCACAGATCACAAACTTGCTAGTGAGGGTGGCCCTCAGGCCTCTTCTCCATCAGTGTATTGCAGGGTGACTGAGGTCTCTCACTCCAGCTACCACGAGCGCTCCAGTCTGGGTCCTATCCTGAAATTCTGGTTGGAAATGCCGCTGAATACAAGTGTGAACAGCTACTGAAGTCCGCCTGCTTCAATTCCTTGTAAAAGGCGAATGTTAAATGCAAAAAGGTGCTTAGAGAAGGAAAAGCAAAGTGTGGGACTCACTTGAATGAAAATATTTCATTTTTCCTAACATCTGCTAATCTGAAACCAATGGGTCTCACCACGCGTATGGGATCCGTGCCTGTAGTAGAGATTCTGCTTTCAGTGTGTGTGTCTGTCTGGGTCTACTTCATTGCAAGGTAAGCTTTACCACGGACTCCCCCGACTGTATTGACCCCACCTTCACTGGGTGTAAGGGAGTTTCTGAGAGGACACTCTCACGGTGAATGCCCACAGTCGGAGGCCGTTGGAAATGGACCCCAGAATTTCAGACATCAGCCCAATGCCTGCTTTTTGGAGAATCTCTGAAGGTGGTGTGAAGCCTCACCCTAAGGACTGACCATCGTCTCCCTCATGCTTGTCAAAGTGGAAGAAACGTGCAGTGAGACAAAAGAAGGTGGTGAATACAGAGCAGGTCCAGATATCTGGTGAGTCACAAAAAGATACACGTTCATTCAGTAGTATTGTAGAAGTTTCACCCACTGGCCAAAATCCACCCTTACTCCCAAGCGCGCAAAACTGTGGGTCTGCACACACTATTTCATGCTGTTTGTTGAAGTCATGGTCTGTTGGGAAGCAGGTAAGAATACGAAGCCAGTGAACATGACCTAGCCGCCTGCAGTCTGTGGTACTTCCAAACTGCCTCTGAGTGCGTCAGCACGAGTTCAGGTTTTGAAATTAAGTAGGTGATCTTGCAGATGGCCGCAGGAGGGCATAGTGCAGCCTGCTTGTTCCTTCTGTTGTAACCATTTCCTAGTTTTCACTCCTTCATTGTTGATTTGAGGTTGCAGATTCATTTATATTTCTGCTGCCAGGTCATGTCTGATGCAGATAGATGTGTTTAAACCAAATGCTATTTTTAGCATTTTCAACAAGTGTGGGAGAACAGCAAGAAGTCTTATATCGCAGTTATTAGCTGGGAAAGTAAATAAAGGGAGTGCTTGCTTGGGTGTTTAGAGCAGACTTTGTGTCCTTGGTGAAGCTAGGTCTTCTCCCAAAGCGTTTAATGTGCTGTGCCACATCAGCTTGCGTCACCTAGTCTTGCCCATTATCCAAATTACAGCATGTTCTTCCCTCGCGGGGTTGGAAGAGATGGTCGGGAGGAGGGGAGGAGGTGCCACCTCCGTGTGGGCTGTGCAGTGAAGCCCCTGCTTGCTTTTCCGTGTCGTGGCTTCCCATCTCTGCCGGCCACAGGGAGCGTTTCCTGGGCCGAGAGCAGACCACGCTGATTGTGTTCTCCGCTGACCACCCCTTGCTTGCTTGTTGGCGTTGCTGAGCCTGCTCTTATCCTCCCTACCATCAGTTTTAATTAGAAAACTCTGCGCCCCACAGCTTGGTTTTGTGAGGGATGCCAAAGATGTCACCAAGGGAAGCCAAAGAGGATGACCAGCAAACTTTGCTAATGAGTGGAAGATTAATGAAGTTCTTAATTAGCAGGTGTGCAGGTGCGAGAGCAAGGTGCAGTGAGACATGCACGTGGTGACAGCAGAAGCATGCGAGGAGGCATCAGCCGAGCGGCTGGAGTTGCC